AATTTTTTGTAACTTGGGGTTTGAAAAATGCCCATTAGGGTCTCGAATATTCTTCTCCATTTCTTTTTTCCTTTGTCATTTTGATGTTGGAGATTTTGCTGAAGATTCTATCAGTATCAATCCGAGTCCGATGTAACTCGTCCGATTCAAACAAGATGAGTCCAAGTCGAGCTAGTACGACCAAGTCGTAACCAATTCATTGCTGAGTCATAGGTGACTCATGACATTTACATATTGTGTATCAATATTGGATCGGGCATAACCGAGTCATATCGGTCTCGGCCGATACTTTGAACCGTGGACAAAAAGGGAAATAGAGGGAGAGCACTGTAAAAAACCTTTTCCAAGATCAGAGGATAGAGAGTCATTAGCAACTCTTCCTTTATCCTTGCTCAAACAAGAAAAGTAAGAACAAAACAAATCATAGGAACTGTCATATGGTTAGTAGCTCTAGAATCAATTATTCAANAAATAGATTGAGAGATCAAGAGAGGGGTTCAAGCACGTGAATTAGAGAGATCACGAGACCGACAAAAGGTCCGAGCATGCAAGTTAGAACTATTGCCTAGTGCATGCCTCTTTGTTGCCACTACGAAGAAAAAGAATAAAGAGGGGTTTTTCTGTCTTTGATTTTAACAAGTATGCCTTGCAATTCTTTCAGTTTTTCTTTTGTTTCTGTAATTGTAAAAAGGAGTGAATTTGCTTCTAATTTTTTGTAACTTGGGGTTTGAAAAATGCCCATTAGGGTCTCGAATATTCTTCTCCATTTCTTTTTTCCTTTGTCATTTTGATGTTGGAGATTTTGCTGAAGATTCTATCAGTATCAATCCGAGTCCGATGTAACTCATCCGATTCAAACAAGATGAGTCCAAGTCGAGCTAGTACGACCAAGTCGTAACCAATTCATTGCCGAGTCATAGGTGACTCATGACATTTACATATTGTGTATCAATATTGGATCGGGCATAACCGAGTCATATCGGTCTCGGCCGATACTTTGAATCGTGGACAAAAAGGGAAATAGAGGGAGAGCACTGTAAAAAACCTTTTCCAAGATTAGAGGATAGAGAGTCATTAGCAACTCTTCCTTTATCCTTGCTCAAACAAGAAAAGTAAGAACAAAACAAATCATAGGAACTGTCATATGGTTAGTAGCTCTAGAATCAATTATTCAAGGAGAAGAAGAGACACTAAGAGCATATACTAAACTACCTATGTGAGCAAAGTTAGAAAAAACCGGTGCAAAGGGAAAAACTATGGTGGATGAAGTGTCAAGTCTAGCCATCAAATGCCTGGGAATGTGGATATCATTCCAAGAGAGAGCTCCAATATCAACAGAAGGGCTCAAGGAAATGTCAAAATACAAGCCAGAGATCACACAGTACCACCACAGCCTCAGGTAGGACGACCAAACAACTTCCAGCAATGCTCTCTAGTATGTTAATCTTTTCCATAGTAATCACATTTCAACATATTAAGATCACCAACATCACTCTTCCCACTAGTCTTGCGCTGATTGGCCTTACCATCCCGTGAAGTAAAAGTAGCAAGAAAAGCAAAATGAACNATATTCTTCTCCATTTCTTTTTTCCTTTGTCATTTTGATGTTGGAGATTTTGCTGAAGATTCTATCAGTATCAATCCGAGTCCGATGTAACTCATCCGATTCAAACAAGATGAGTCCAAGTCGAGCTAGTACGACCAAGTCGTAACCAATTCATTGCCGNATGTTGGAGATTTTGCTGAAGATTCTATCAGTATCAATCCGAGTCCGATGTAACTCGTCCGATTCAAACAAGATGAGTCCAAGTCGAGCTAGTACGACCAAGTCGTAACCAATTCATTGCTGAGTCATAGGTGACTCATGACATTTACATATTGTGTATCAATATTGGATCGGGCATAACCGAGTCATATCGGTCTCGGCCGATACTTTGAACCGTGGACAAAAAGGGAAATAGAGGGAGAGCACTGTAAAAAACCTTTTCCAAGATCANTATCAATATTGGATCGGGCATAACCGAGTCATATCGGTCTCGGCCGATACTTTGAATCGTGGACAAAAAGGGAAATAGAGGGAGAGCACTGTAAAAAACCTTTTCCAAGATTAGAGGATAGAGAGTCATTAGCAACTCTTCCTTTATCCTTGCTCAAACAAGAAAAGTAAGAACAAAACAAATCATAGGAACTGTCATATGGTTAGTAGCTCTAGAATCAATTATTCAAGGAGAAGAAGAGACACTAAGAGCATATACTAAACTACCTATGTGAGCAAAGTTAGAAAAAACCGGTGCAAAGGGAAAAACTATGGTGGATGAAGTGTCAAGTCTAGCCATCAAATGCCAGGGAATGTGGATATCATTCCAAGAGAGAGCTCCAATATCAACAGAAGGGCTCAAGGAAATGTCAAAATACAAGCCAGAGATCACACAGTACCACCACAGCCTCAGGTAGGACGACCAAACAACTTCCAGCAATGCTCTCTAGTATGTTAATCTTTTCCATAGTAATCACATTTCAACATATTAAGATCACCAACATCACTCTTCCCACTAGTCTTGCGTTGATTGGCCTTACCATCCCGTGAAGTAAAAGTAGCAAGAAAAGCAAAATGAACCTGACTAGGAGTGTATATCATAACACTACATCGAATTTCCTCTTCACATAGCCCTCTGTCAAGGTGGGGAAAAAGGATCGACCTAAGACCTGAACTCTAATCTAATCATACTCCATGTTAAGGCCAACAAGGAAATCATATACTTGCTCTTTATTCATCATCTGTTAAAGGGCAACAACATCTCTGGTACAAGCAACCTTAAAACTATGATAATAGTTAAGTTCTTGCCACAAACTACTCAATCAGCATAATACACAGCAAATACACAAGAGATTTATCTCTTTTATCTAACTCATGAATCTTTTTCCTCAGTTCATACGCTTGTGCATCATTACCTTTCTGTGGGTATGACTATGCAACTGCAAACCAAATCTTATGTGTAGTGTCCATCAACAAGGTGGGACTTATAGATGTCTGCATTGAGTTAATCAACCAAGTCATGACAAGAGCATTCTCCGATCACCATTGCTCAAAGGATCCTTGAGAGTTTATGTGATATAACTAGGCCACGAGCAATAATAGCCAAACTACAAGATTGTGACCAGATCAGATAGTTGGTGCCATCCAACTTAACCGGAATAATATGAAAGGATGGCTTATCTACAAAAATCCCAACATTACTCAACTCGTTCACCTCACTATCTCCGAAAATCTTACCATCCTCTCCCATGTCCACTGAACAAGAAGATCACCCCTAAATATCAAAACTGGCTCAATCACCCAAAAAGCCCAAGGAATCCGTACAAAGGACAAGTTACCCGCACAATAAAACTGAAAGAGGAGACAAAATCAGATTAGAAAAATGGATAAAAGGGCCAAAAAGTTGCTATTTTAGAAAAAAAATACAAGAAATCCCTTATATTGGCTAAAAAATTATCAAAATGGATGAAACAACAATTGGGTAACAGCAAAAAGGTAATTTCGGACCCCAAATGAGTTATTCCAACCATCAGATTGCATCAAATAAGGCAAAATAAAGTATTTTAAAAGTGGCAAAAAAATTCTAAAAAATAGAAAACTAAATGAAAAAATACATTGAATGAACTCCAAAAAAATTTGAAATTTTTTCTAGGAACCCTAATCATTCACGGTGGCTTTTTTTTTTTTAAAGGGTTCAACAAAAAATGGGAAAAAACTACAATATTAGACTTACATCACTGAAAAACAAGAAGATGAAGAAAAAAATATCAACTTATGAATCGAGCTCTTATACCAAGTTAAACTATGAAAGAGAGAAGAGAAGAAAGTAGAGAGAAAGAGAATACGTTTATGACAATAGTGAGACCTAATGAGAGAATTAGTTTCTCCCTTAGCCTCATGTATTTATAATAATAAGACTCGAAGTATATAAATACCTCTCATAGACACCTCTTAAAAATAACTTTCATTTTTCATCCTTCTCTTTAAATATTTAGAAGTTATGAAATATTTTAGATAATTGGAGGGTAAGCTTGAAAGATTAATCATTTTTACTCCATCCATGTGAATGCTGGTAATTCTCTCCCACTAAGAAGCTAAATTTTCAAAAATGGCTCTCCACAATCAGGGACGGAGTCAGGAATTTATGTTTACGGGGGCCAAGGTTTATGCACAAAAACTAAGACCAACAATATATTTATATTTTATAGATTGAAATTTTCAATCCACAAAGTAATGTCTAATAAACAAATAATTTGCAAAGTTATTCTACCTTTTCATTTGAACAGACTAGGGAAAGAATAAGTATTAAGTTTTAACAATGTTACTTGTTTTAATTTGAGTACTTAATTTGGGAATGTATCACATTATGGTCAATTAATACATCCNAATCCACAAAGTAATGTCTAATAAACAAATAATTTGCAAAGTTATTCTACCTTTTCATTTGAACAGACTGGGGAAAGAATAAGTATTAAGTTTTAACAATGTTACTTGTTTTAATTTGAGTACTTAATTTGGGAATGTATCACATTATGGTCATTTAATACATTCNGCCTCCGTTATTTTTTCTGTCAAAAGAACTCATTGACACTGACAGAAAAACTAACGAAAAACTTTAAAAAGGGTCAAATTACAACATATTTAATTTTGATATATTTAGGACGTAATGTGAGAAATTTAATCTTTGAGAANAGTCAAGGGCTCTTTATGGAAAATTGAATAAAATTAACAAAGTTCAAAGTAATTTATAGTGTTAGTGTAAAAAGGTGATATTTTAATAAAAAAAATTGAAGTGGGTCGATGCACTAATAAATTGGGAGAGAAGATTTGAATGAAGTATTTCTTCACAAAATGCAATTTATATGTAAGGACTAAGGAGGGCAACCAATGGATAGCTATTTCGATTCATGCTTAAGATATATATATAGGGGATTGGCAAAAGTGCAAAGGGGCCATGACCCCTTTAGCCAAAGGGTAGCTCTGTCCCTGTCTACAATAGGAACATGGGATGTAACAATCAGAAAAAAAGAAAAAATTGGAAATACACCGANTATTTCGATTCATGCTTAAGATATATATATAGGGGATTGGCAAAAGTGCAAAGGGGGCCATGACCCCTTTAGCCAAAGGGTAGCTCTGTCCCTATCTACAATAGGAACATGGGATGTAACAATCAAAAAAAAAGAAAAAATTGGAAATACACCGAGTAAAAATTAATGTGGTCTTCAGACAAATATTCAAAAACTAAAAGTCCTACTGTCATTCAGAAATATTATATAAATAGGGGAGAGAGAATAAATCATAACCTCAGGAGATATAGACCGATGGATGAGGCGTGCATTGTTGTGGAGGAAATCCAAGGATTCAGCAATCTGGAGTAACCCATGCTTCATCTCCAACAATCCCATTTCCTGGAAGATGGGAACTCTTTCAAGAAACAATAAATAACATAACATAAAATTTCAAATGTATGACGACTTGAACTGGTACCCAAAACATCTTAAAGAACAAAGATAACCACAGTCTATCGTTATAAAAATGACTTTGTTAGAATATAAATTCAAAAGGCAGCAAAAGGAGTTCCACGCAAACCAAAGCGACTAGGCAAGTGTTATACTTACAATTTTGTATTTTTTTTTTTTGGGGATNACGACTTGAACTGGTACCCAAAACATCTTAAAGAACAAAGATAACCACAGTCTATCTTTATAAAAATGACTTTGTTAGAATATAAATTCAAAAGGTAGCAAAAGGAGTTCCACGCAGACCAAAGCGACTAGGCAAGTGTTATACTTACAATTTTGTATTATTTTTTTTTGGGGGTAAAAAACAAAGCTTTTCATTGATAATGGAAGTTAAGATTATCCGAGCAAAGGTGGACAAGTAGTCCAACCCTATTAGATTTAGTACAAAAAACCAATAGAGGTGCCCCCCAAGAGTTCAAAATTATCTTCCGCACACGCCATTCAACTCAATATAAAATATAAAATATAAAAAAGAGGGATATTCTCAAATTCTTTAGACACCGAAGTCCAAAAAAAAACTAGGAAATAGATCCAATCCCACAACCAGTCCATTACTTCCTCTTTGTCTTCAAAAATTGTCGAATTTCTTTCCAGCCAAATGACACAAAAAATTGCAAAGGACAAACAATGCCAAATAGTAACAACCCTTCCACTCCCACCCAATCCCTTGTACTCCATCGAGAACATGGAGGATACATATTATGGGGCCACCTAACAAAGCCCCACCAACTAAAATCATTTATTCCAAAAGAATAATGTAAAGAAATGGTCCACATTTTCACAACTTGAACTACACATAACGCACCATTGTTGACAAAGATTACTATAAGGCCTTCTGCTTTGGAGCACGTGATAAGTATTTATCTTACCATTAGCAATCACCCATGCACAAACTTTCACTTTCAAGGGCACTTTGCCTTTCCAAATCTTCAATGTTGCATAATATAGAGTGATCACTCAAAGAATAACTAACATGAGAAGGAACCCAATGGATCAATGACCCAACATCTTTTGTCCAAAGAATCTAGATTGTTCGCACTTTGTACCCTAAAAGATTTAAAAATTTTACTTTATACCTTCAAAGATTAAATCTCTCACATTACACCTTCTATATATCAAAAGTGTTATAAAGTGGTCCTTCTATTAGCCTCCGTTATTTTTTCTGTCAAAAGAACTCATTGACACTGACAGAAAAACTAACGGAAAACTTTAAAAAGGGTCAAATTACAACATATTTAATTTTGATATATTTAGGGCGTAATGTGAGAAATTTAATCTTTGAGAATGTAAAGTGAGAAACTTGAGATCTTTTAGGGTGTAAAGTGCATTCTCCCAAAGAATCTTGATTCAAAGTAGGATAAATTACACTTACACCCCCTAAACTAGCACCGTTTTTCACTTTGCCCCTCAACTATCAGATTTCTCACATTGCATCCTCAACTATGTGATTAATTTCATATTGCCCCAATTATTAACGTCTTCTACATATTTAACGAAAAATTATTTTATTTTGCCCCCTAAACTATATAATTTTTTTCACTTTACTTCGAAACGTCAACAATTTTCGTACAAAAGATAACAGACATTATTGATTGGGGCAATGTGAAACAAAATTGGAGAGGAATCCGAGGACTATCATTTAGATTCATATGAAACCCAAAATTGGAGAGGAATCTGACCTTGCCAAAGAAGCAACACTATACGGCCTTGAAGACATGAAAGACGAAATAACTAAGGGAATGTACTTGAGAACGATGAGTCACCAACCCAAATATCTTCTCAAAATCGAACTCTTATCCCATTACAAAAAATTAACTTGACCTTTTGGGTTCGTTTGTTTAGCGGGAGAATGGTAGAAAATGCAAGAAAGAGAAATTTTGTATGTGTTTGGTTAGCATGAAAAGGAAAATGATAGAAAAAATAATTTTCTTTTATACTTTAATTTTCTCACAAATAACCAACTTTTTTTCTTGTAAAAAACACAAGGAAATTCAAGAAAGTTGTGATCTATAACTAACTTCTTATTTTACCCTTACTTTTTTGAAAAATATTTTATTAGTTATTAATTTTAAAAAATTTTGGTATGAATTTAATTAATCATATATAACTTGGCCCAAAGACATTTGTGTTGGTGATTATCCTAAAATTAGGTTTCGAGCCACTTTTTAAAAAAAATTTAACTTTCAATTATAATTATATAAATCTTTTCCATTTTAGACTAATTTAATATAATTAAGGATAATTTAGACAATTATAAAAAATTTCTTATAATTTTCATTTCTTTCAAATAACATAATGATTTTTTTTTAAACTTTCCCGTAAATTTTGCATTCTAACCAAATACATGTATGAAAATATATTTTCTATCATGTTCTTTTTTTTCACTTCACTTTCTATCATTTTCACTTTCCATCATTTTTTTCTTCCTAACGAAACGGACCCTTTGAAAAAAAGCAAGATAATTCAAGAATTAAATTGTCAAGGATTCAGTAGCTTCCCCTATCAACCCTTTTAGCATTCTACCCCTTAGCCTAACATGCTTGCTTTTAATTACCAAATGTCATAACGAATTTTGCTCCAATGAAAATCTCTGAAGCCATTTTTCAACCAAGGCCTTATTTCTAACAACCAAATTTTTCACCAACAATTCACCCTTTACTTTTGGTCTAGACATGACTCCCAACACATTAAGTGATCCTTTTTACCCTCCTCCTTCCGTTCCCATAAGAAGTCTCTCATCATCCCCCAATCCTATTTGTCATCCCATAAAGCATCTTGAAAAGAGACAGCTTAATGCATATATGGGGATCTTCACCTGGGCAAGCGTGCCCCTGACACTACTAAACTCACTAACACCTTCGTAAATTTGATTTAGGGATTTTCAACTTTGCCGTATCATGAAATAAACTTTCCAATATCTACCTTGTAATAGAAACAATTTAAAAAAGAATCATTCCCAAATCTTACAGATGTTTAAGACTAATATACCATCATGATACCATATGGCTATAAACATGTTTGGCAAGAACAAAATGTATGAGCAATTAATGAACAGCCTACTTTTGGCTTGTTTAGGGTTCTTTAATGTGTATTTGCTCAGGACACAAACTAAGCCTTTTAAGCACGTGCGTAAATATTTGACTCTGTGTAGCTCGTCTACAATTCATTGGGCCCAAGGCAACAAATATCTGTTTGCTTTANAAAATGATAGAAAAAATAATTTTCTTTTATACTTTAATTTTCTCACAAATAACCAACTTTTTTTCTTGTAAAAAACACAAGGAAATTCAAGAAAGTTGTGATCTATAACTAACTTCTTATTTTACCCTTACTTTTTTGAAAAATATTTTATTAGTTATTAATTTTAAAAAATTTTGGTATGAATTTAATTAATCATATATAACTTGGCCCAAAGACATTTGTGTTGGTGATTGTCCTAAAATTAGGTTTCGAGTCACTTTTTAAAAAAATTTTAACTTTCAATTATAATTATATAAATCTTTTCCTTTTTAGACTAATTTAATATAATTAAGGATAATTTAGACAATTATAAAAAATTTCTTATAATTTTCATTTCTTTCAAATAATATAATGATTTTTTTTTAAACTTTCCCGTAAATTTTGCATTCTAACAAAATACATTTATGAAAATATATTTTCTATCATGTTCTTTTTTTTCACTTCACTTTCTATCATTTTCACTTTCCATCATTTTTTTCTTCCTAACGAAACGGACCCTTTGAAAAAAAGCAAGATAATTCAAGAATTAAATTG